CCTGACGGCCAAACTCCAGTCAGACAAGGATAAGACTCGCTGTCAGGAATCGTGCACCACTGCCACCACAAAAGCAATTCAATGCCCACCCGCTGGCAACAGGGAAGAGGTCCCTGAGTAGCTGTTTCCACAACAGCACAATCTCCCCTTCCCCCCTGCCTTCTGTGAAAACAACAGTAGATTCCTGCAAGAGGGACGGTGAAGGACCAGACCTTCAAGACTCCATACAATCCCTATGCAAATAAGTTTGCACTGGAAATTAATTGTATATTGACTCTCTTCACACTTGGAAAGATTGTCTACTTCCACCTGGAATAAGCAAACCATACACAAAGCTTTATTATTTTAATTCTCACATTAAAATTAAAACTGCCCTATCCTGTTGGCTATGCATATGTATAGGGAAACCATCAGAGTAAAAAAATCTCTTAATTATCACATGTAAAGGAAAGAAAATCCTGTTTGAAAATGGGTATTTTAAAACATTGTGATCGGCTAGCACATCTTAAGTCTACTTGTCAACAGTAAGTAGATGTATTATTTGCAGTCTATTTTAATCAACTAATTTTGCAAGAGACAAATATTCTCCCTGTAAATCATGACCATCTTTAAAAAATCAGCTACAAATACAATAGAGCTAAGTGACCCAATTCATACAGATACTGCTTTGATATTTGGATGGTGACTTTTCTAGTGCAGATGCCATCTCAGTATTTCAACTACACACTTTAACTTAAAGCTAAATAAGCCAAATGAGCTGGCCCCGTCTGGGCAGCCAGCAAGCCATTGGTGCTGTTAGTAGCTAAGTGTCTTCCACCAGCATCAGACAAAGCCAACCCATATCCCTGAGCTTTTGTGTGTGTTTTTATAAAGAGATTGGTAGCTTCTTCTTAAATTAAGCATTGTGAACTCACACTGGAAGTGCTGATAAATAGTTGTCACAGAAATAAGCTTGCACATTTCCAAACGTCTGCAGTTTCAGACCTTCCCTCCCTTCTCTTCAGCAATGCAAAGACGAAGAATGGCACCACCCTTAATTCTGATGCTTTAGGACTATAATTACATTATTACAGTAAATCAAACATTGCCTTTGTGTCACTACAATTGTGCTCGTTGTTTGAAATTAACTGCAAATGGTTTGATTTTCTTTTCTTCCTCAAATATGGGCAGGGAGGAATTAAAGCACTCTAAATCATTCCCCCCACTAAAATGCTCAGAAAGCCAGGATTCAGACAGCAGCATTTGAACTCTGCAAGAAAAGAAATGGCAGCACGGAGTGAAAGGAAGAGATCGAGCACTGCATTCGACAGAGCGACTGCAAAGCAATTAGCGGGCCGCTAAATCCTCTGTTACAACAACTCAGTGACCCAGTTCCCCCTCTTCCCCAGTGCCCTTCATTATAAAATCAACTTTAATGAACTAGCCCTCTCTTCGCCACTCCAAAGCAAATATATTTCCACCGCAGCCTGCACCTGCCCTTCCCAGCGGCTGCCGCCCCAGGGAGCCTGGGGCAGCCCCGACGGCGGGGGCAAGGGGGAGTGCCGGCCCAGCGCTGGCCCTTCGTGCAATGACGGAGCAGAGCGTGGAAATAAAAACAGGAAGGCAAGCATTGCCTAATGTGAAACCACTCTCCCTCTTGCTAGTTTTCCGTGTTTCTTTTGCCAGACTTGATTCACCACATCTGCCAGAGCTGACACATCTGGCTCCTTCCCCGGGCGGAGGGCACGGTGGATATGTCAGCATGTTGTCTAAAGGCACTGGTACTTTCTGGAAAGAGCTCTTTTCCCCTCTATCATATATCGTACAACAATCAAGTCTTTTTAAAAGGATGGCTAAAAAAAAAAAAATAAAAAGCTGATTTTGACAAGAGACAGGCCAGAATGAGAACTGCTGAGACAGTAAAGAACAAGCCTGTTATCTTACAAACTACACTTCAGGCTGTCAGCTGCCAGAGATTTACAGGAAAACCCCCCTTCCTAGGACTGAACCGACACGAAACTTTATTTTCAGCAAAAGAAACTCATGAACGCACTCACCGCCACCAGTCCCTGACCGGGGCCGGGGATGCCCGGGAGCGGCCGGGCGGGTTCCAGCTGCGGCAGGGCGGCTGCCGGCCGCCTGCGTGGCCGCGTCCCCGGGCTCGCTCCCTCCCACGCCCGCGGCGTGGGGAGGCGGAGGAAAAGCTCCCGCTGTCCGCAAGCGGCCCCGCTTCGCCTCCAGCCCGGGCGCTCTCCAAGGAGCTCCCCGGTGAGCGCCGCCGCCCTGCTCCATCCCTCCCGGCCCCCCGCCTGCCCCAGCCGGGGCTGCCCGCCAGCCCTGCCCTCCCCCGGCACGGCAGGGTGACAGGAGGGTGGCACGTCCTTCCTGCTATTTATAGCAGCCGGCTCGTATTTGGGTATGCCGGGAACCGCCGGGGAGGGGGGGAAAAAAGCAAAACAGAGGTAAGAAGCAAAGGCAGGGAAGCTCCCGGGCCCCGCTGGCACAAAAGGTGTGGCATAGTGCCTTTGGCCGCTGTAGCCAGTGCGGTTCTCCTGCTCCAATGGGAGCTGAAGGGCCTGTCAAAAGCCAGAGGAAGGAGGAGACGCTGGCTTTTGAACTGATTCCTCTGCCTCGGCAGCAAACCCTGGACAGTGAATTCTAAGCCCGGAGCCGGCTTTTGCTGAAAACAAGTTAAAAATCATGGATCCTGTCCTGTGTGAAATTTTAACAGAGGCATAACCAATATTTCACGTTATTCCCTGGTGCCCCATTTTCCACATCGGTTCCACAACTCCTGCATGACACCAGAGACCTGCTCCTGGCCCACAGCGCTGTCCCGACAGTGTCCAGACAGCGCCTGTCAGGTCGATATTTACCGTCTCCTTTCAAGGTAATGCCTTATCACCCTGACTCAGCCGCAGCACCCCGGCCCCCTGCGCCCCCACAACGCGGTGCATTAAACAGCAAAGGCAGGACGGCCGGGGCCCGGCAGCACCGCGGGGGCTGATGCAGCAGGAGGGCAGGCAAAAGGAAACACAATGACAAAATCGGAACGAATCTGAAAACATGTTTCTGCTTTAAGTGTAATCTATTTTTAAATCGGGTGGCATGTAAATATGAAGCCCTAACTAACAGACGGGATTTGTGCCCATGAGAACATTTTCCCAGCACGGAGGCTGGGCGTGTTTCTCCTGGCGCTGGTGGAAGTGCCTGCTCATCCTCCAGCTCCTCCTGCCCCGGCTCTCCCCGCCAAGGGACACCGTGCATCTCGCCTGCGTTTGCCTCTTTCAGAGTCCACCTGACATCCCAGACCGGAGAAATTAATTACTGTGGTCCCTCCACATCATCCCGAACCGGAGAAGTGAATTCCTGTGGCTCCTCCAAGGTTTGCTGTGGGGGGAAGCGGGGCGCCGGGTAACTTCGGCAGCGCTGCCAGAGACCCCCCGCCTGCACCTGCAGGGACAAGACAGCACACCCCACTTCCTTTTCACGAGAGGGGTGGCTCCAAATTAATGCCAAATTAGTCCTTCCAGAGAAGAAAACTACACATGAGTAAAACGGGGAAGAAATGCTAGTGCCTACCAAAATGACTCAACTCTAAAAAACACACACTGGCCAACTCACACTAAGAAAAAAAAAATCAAGACAAAACCAATCTTGAGGGAAACAAAATCCTCTCAGAGCAACCAGTAACGGTGGCTGCACCCAAGCATGCCTCTCCCAAACAGAATTCATCACAGCTTAAGAGGAACAACTAATATCCCTCCTAGGAGTTTGTAAGACGTTGTTCTTCCTATGAATTATAGTGAAGACCTGACCCCACAGAGGAAAGAGAAGGAAAGAGAAGGAAGGAAAGAGAAGGAAGGAAAGAAGGAAGGAAGGAAGGAAGGAAGGAAGGAAGGAAGGAAGGAAGGAAGGAAGGAAGGAAGGAATCTATTTTCTTGTCGTGGATAAATCATGACTAGCCTTTCTTTGAACAGTTTATGAAACTCGAGAGCTTTGATCGCTGGGATCTAAAGTTCTCGTGGGGGAGCTGGTACTCCTGCTGCAGCTGCTGAAGAAGAAACACAACTCCTTTACCCGATTCAGTTCAAAAAGCACCTACTGTGAGACCGTCTGGTCTAACGTTCATTTTTTATTCTACTGCAACGCTCATGCTATGCGAAACGCAATAGGAATTTCCATACCAGCATTTACATCCAAATGGACCCGCTGAGATTCACGCTGATGTGTAACAGCCCTACAATGCAGCCCCTTCTGGCAAGTGCGCGGTGCCGGCGCACCGGCCAGCAGGACTCCCACCCGGCCTGTCCTGGGTGAGCCCCCTGGGCTGACCCGTGTGCCGGGGCTGCGCGGATCCAGCTGAGCCCGCCGGGAGTCCCAGCAGAGGCTGCCAGGGGTGATCCCACCGCTGTCTTCTCTCCGGGGGTACCGGAGCCAGCGGCGCTTGCATTCAAGCCGGCCTTTATTTCCCGCTAATCGGGGGCTGTTTGTGGATTTCTGAGTCCTTCCTCAGCCTCTCCCTCGCCCCTTCCCTCACCTCAGTATTCATTTTGTTTACGAGGAAGCGGGATCAGAGCGCAAGCCGCAGGGCCGGCCGCCGCGGGGGGATGCCGGGCAGGAGGGGGAACGCGCCGCATCCCGCACCGCTCCCGGCCTTGCCTCGGGCGATTCACTTGTCGCCGGGGGGTGAGCACCGCCGCTGCCAGCGGAAAGCGCCCATCGAGGCGCCTTCCCGCGGACACGCGATGGGGACGGGAGGTACGGAACCGCCGTGCTGGGGACAGGGCACATCTGCCCCGGCCACCGCGACCCCCACCGTGCCTGCCGAAGGGGGCTGCCCACGGAACGGGGGACAGGGGTGTGTGTGCGAACTCTCGGGATCTCCCCGGCCGCTCCCCGCGCACGCCGGGAGTGGCGGCGGTAGCTCCGACAGGTTGCCCGCGGTGGAACTGAGAGCGCCGGCGAAAAGCAGCGCGACCCCCCCGCCCCGGCGGGGCTCGGCGGCCGGACCCGCGTACCTGCAGGACGTTGGCGTGGCGCAGCCGCTGCAGCAGGATCATCTCTTTGACGATCTTGTAGGCGGCTAGGCGGTAGCAGTCCCCCAGGGCGGAGAACTGCCGCACGCAGTGGGCGATGTCGTGCCCGCCGAAGTCCACCGCCTTCAGGGCCACGGCCAGCGTGCGGTTGAGGACCGCCTTGTAGACCGCCTTGGTGTAGCCCGAGCCCAGGTACTGCACGCCGCTGACATCGCGGATGTCGCGGCAGCCCAGCAGCGGCGGCTCCAGCGAGAGTTCGGCCGAGGCGCCGGCCCACGGCCCCGCCGCCGCTCGGCCCCGCGGCCCCGGCGGCCGCNTGCCGGTAGCGCAGCACCTCCTCGTAGCGCTCGCGGATCTGCCGCGCCAGGGCGGCCTGGCCGCCGCCGATCTCCTCCTCCGGCGGGTAGAGGGGGGCGCCGGGCGGGGAGGGGGGCAGCTCGTCGCGGGGCGGCGGCGGGTGCTCGGAGCCGGGGATGAACAGGAGGTTGAGCAGGGTGCCCAGGAGGAAGGCGAGGCAGCAGCCGGCCGCCACCGCTGTCTTCCTGCGCCTCATCGCCACTTCGCTGACGGCTTGTCCAGCCTTTCGGGCTTCTCTCCTCTCGCCCCTTCCCCGGGAACCAGCTCCGAGGCTTTTTTTCTCCTTTTTTTCTCCCCCTCTTTTTTCCCCCTCCCGGCTATGCCGGCGGCAAAACGGCCCCGGGCGCTCAGCCGGAGCTCAGCCCCTTACGACGCGCCCGCATGACACTTGCCTCCCTGCTTTTAAGGCTCTGAAGCACTTATTATTAGCGGGACACGGGGCGGGCGGGGGGATCCCCGTCCCGCTGCCCCCGCCGACGCGCGCTGATTGACAGCCCGGCCCTTCCCGCGGCCCGGCCGAGCAGCAGGGGGGCCTGGGAAACGTAGTCCCCCGCAGAAGCCCCGCCGGCCGCCGGCGAGCCCGGGAGCCGGGACTACATCTCCCAGGCTCGGCCGAGCCCCCCGGCGGGGAAGGCGCGGAGAGGGGCGGGACGGGCGGGCGGGCCCCCCCGACGGGCGCTACCGGGCAGGGCGGGCCCTGGGCGCTGCCGCCGGGCCGGGAGGGACCCGGGTGACTGTGGCTCTTCCCACGCGTGGCCGCGCAGCCCGGGGAAATCGCGCCGGCAGCGGTTTGGGCGGGATGCCCTTATCCCCCTCCTCGGCAGCCAAGGGGTTTGGGGGGTGTGTTGTGCGAGCATCCACGTACCACCGCAGAGCCACACAAAGGAGAGGGGTTCGATGTCTTTTCCGCACCAAAATAAAGCGAAAGGAGGCGGCTGCAGCCCGGAGCTGTGGGTTCGTCATTCCGAGTGAAAATTGCAGCGGTCGCGCCCCCTCCAGCCACGGCACAGCGCGGAGGAGAGCAGAGAGGGGATGGGGCTGCGTGTCACCCACGGGAAAGAGCAGCCACAAATCACGGGCTCGGCAGGGGGTAGCCCCTGCCCCGTTGGAAATGTGAATTGCAGGGGTAAGCGCTAATGACATGGTTATCCATCAAGCCCACATTACGATGCTGTTAGCAACTAATTAACAAATACAATCAGCCCGCGAAACTTCCACAAAGGAGAGACCATCAACAAGAGAAAAGCCGTAAAGAGTCAGGCGAGGCAAAGTTCACCACAATAGAAGTGGGAAATCATTTCCAATAAGGGAAAGGGACGAGACATTTCGGTAATACACATCGGAGAGAACGCAGGGGGAAAAAACAACACACAAAAAAAAATTCCAAAAACAGCAGCCACGGTTCCCGGGAACTAGCGATCAGTGATCGTCTGCCTTTCCTCCAGCACTGACAAAAAACGGAGCTCGGTAACTCAGCCCTCAGACTCCGCCCGTCCGCTGCCGGCGCCCAGACCCGCGGGGAAGCGCCCGGGGACCGGAGGCAGCGGCGAGACCGGGAGGAGGCAGCCTCGGCAGGGGATGTGGAGACCGACCGTCTCTCCCAGCAGCCTCGGAGCCTTTCTGTCGCCGCTTCCCGAGAGCCCTCCGCAGGCACCGGGAGCACGGCCCACCCGCGGCCCCGCACACGGGGCGGGCAGAGGCTCGGACTGAGACCGGACCAGGCGCCCCAAGCCCGAGGGTCTCCCGAGCCTGGCACCAACCACCGCAGAAAAGTGACGGGAGGGAACGTAATCACCTATTAAAATAAAAACAACAATTGTAGGAAGGGGGGGGGCTGTCTACCCCCAAGGGACAGCAGGCTCCGCGGGCGCGCCGCTCCCGCATCCCGCTGCGCGCTGCCCCGCGGTACTTGCTCCGCCCGCCGGGCCGCTGCCACCTGCCTCCCCGCGGGGGAGGAGCAGGGCTCGGGGGAACGCTTTTATGGATGGGGTGGGGTTTTGGGTTGGTTGGGGGTTCGGGTCGTCTTTTGTTTCTTTTTGGGGGTTGGGGTTTTTTGCTTTCCTTCATCATTTCTGTTCTTACCTATCGAGAGCAGCGTTTTACCCTCCAGAGGCAGCCAATTCCCGCTGCGATAAGTGGGATTTTCACGGGTGTAGAGGACGGGTAGCAGGCCGTTTTTATGGGTTTCTTTCCAAAGTGAAGGCGTTCATAACGGCAGGAAATGAATTTCCAAAGATGTTGTGACACCTGCAGCCCTCCCTGCTTTGAGCGGGACCCCCCACCCCCCCAGCCCCCGCAGGAGACGGGAGGTTCGGGTTGCCTTCCCGCGGTAGGTGCGGGAAATCTGAAGGCACCGGACCTCTCCCGCTGCTGAGCCCTTCCTCGGCCGGCCGCTGGCAGGGCAGAGGGCTCCTGGAGAGACTCGGTGCACTACTATTATTATTATTATTATTATTATTATTATTATTATTACTCAGGCGGTCAGCCCGTACCCAGCGCTGCAGGCCAAGCCAGCGCGGAGGGGCCAGCGCTGCGCTCTTCCCGCTGTCCTGCGCGTCCTCCGGGGAAATCACGGCGATTTGTCCGTGCCTTTGAAACATGCACGCTCGGCTGGATTTACGGCTTGGTTGATACGAGCCAACACTTTTTATTATTGCACAGATAAGAGTCAGAATATAGCCGCGATCGGCCGGAGCGGTTGTGCAAGCCCATAGAGGCGGCGGCCCCGGATGGTTACGAGCGAGCGGGGTGAGCTCAGCAGAATATTGTTTACAGGCCAGACCGGGGGTGACCCGAGGCCAGCGGGCTCATGGAGCAAGGAGCCGGCTTCTCCGAGAGGCCGTGCCCGCCACGAGAGCGGAGTGTGGCCCTGGGGATGCTGCAGCCCCGGGGGGCAGCTGAAGGCCCCGGCAGGGCCAGCGCGGAGAGAAAGAAGAGAGGTCTTGCTCGGCTGTGCACCTCGCATGGTACCCACTGCCCCGCGGGTCTGGAGGAGCTGCACATCTCCCCGAGACGGGGGCAGTGCCCGCCTTCCTTGCAGGGAGGAGGAGGGTCCGCAGCGACACGGGGTTCTCCCCGGAGCATCCCCGGGCGCCCCGAGGTTGCGCACCCTGCGTGTTTGTGCAGTTTACACGAACACAACCGGACTGCAAAACAGATGCTCCGTAACAGCGGGTCACCTGTTTTTCACATCATGCTCGGTCTCAAAGCCGGTTTTCTTCATTATATCCTTCCCTACAGATACCATGAAATACATCACTCATTTAGATATGGGAGCCGGCCTCTGGAGGACGACTTGCGCGGAGCACTTTGATGTTGAGAGACAGATTTCAAAAGATAGAAAGCCCCTTCGATGTTTCTAATTACCCCGCGCCCGGGGCCTGCCACTGATTAGGGCGGCGGTGCCGGGGTGATGCCGAGGCGGGCGGCCCGCGGGGCACGGCCCGGCTCGGCCCGGCTCGGCCCGGCTGCGCGGAGAGGGGCGATCCTCCTCCTCCATCCGCCGGCCAGGGAGGACCACACGGGTGCATCAGCAGAGCTCCGCTAAAGCCAACAGCGAGCCGCGGCCACAGCCCGGGCTGGCAGAAGGGGAAGCAGCCTTTGCTGCATGCCCAGCGCCTTCCCGCCGCGGGAGGAGGTTTGGGAGCAGGCGGGATCTGCTCCCGCAGCCAAGGCCCTTTTGCAAGAGACTGCGCTGAAAGCATTACAGCCCTTACTAACACTTCTGCTCACATGCGAGCCTTTTATCTCGGCAACGCTGTTGGAAAAGCTGAATCACTGCGGAGAAAGTGAGGACTGAGGGGTATTTTTTCATATGCAACAAGCTGCTCTTTATTTAATCCTCACAGCCCCTATTTCTATCAATATTCCTAGAGCTGAGAGATCAAACACGGAAAAATTAAAACCATGCTACCACACTAAATAAGATTAAGATCATGGCAGTACATTGGCTGCTCCTTGGGGAAATAATTTTGTTGCTGCAGGAGCCATGGCCATCCTGCAGGCAAAGCTTGTGTTTCAGGAATGGCTGATGGGAAAGACAGTTGGGAGTTGCCTCCAAACCCAACCAGGATCCATCTCAAATGCCCACGACCCTGTGCCCTTCTGCTCCCAGCCCAATTCCTTGGGCATTACTTCTCTACAGAGTCAAAGAAATTTGCTGTGCTGAGCCCCATTATCCCTGTTTCGCTCTCACCAGCAGGCATCTTCAAGTGAGTCCCACTGTTGGTATCAAGGGATTTTGACTTCAGGCCCAAAAAAAGAAGTCCCACATTTTCAAGCATAGGTAGCTTCAGGATCTCAAAAAAAACCAAACAAAAAACCCACAAATGGAAGCTTGCAGCTGGAATAATTCAGTTTCTGCTGAGGAAGCTTGTTCTTTCAGAACTGTCCCGTGCTCACATGATTCCCCTTTGACACTTAAGGAATTAATTCTATTTTAAATTTTAGATTATTTCATAACCTTTTGAATTCCTGGTCATCTGTTCTGGCTGCTTATGTGGAAGAAGAGTTCAGAAGCCTCTTGAAAACAGAGTCTATGGACTGTGTGCCTTTCCGCTGAGGGGTCTTCCATGGCCAGCCTCTCCTTCATTCCCTGCTTTGACAAGGACTTTTCAGCTTTCAGGGAAGGGTAGAAATCCTCTCTTTCCTCAGGGATGTGGACCTTTGCACATGTACATTTTGTAGCCTTCTTTAAGTTTTCATACAATCTCTGTAGTGTTTTACAGGATCTTTTTTTCTGATGTTCTTTGCCTCTCTTTCCTCAGGGATGTGGGGCCAGCAGTGGACCCTTGCACATGTATATTTGGTAGCCTTCTTTAAGTTTTCATACAATCTCTGTAGTGTTTTACAGGATCTTTTTTTCTGATGTTCTTTCTTTTCTCTGAGGAAACACACTCCCTTGATATTTGAAGCAAGCTGAGATGCAGCCAATTGTATTAGTTCTGTCTGGAGCAAAAATGCACAATGAAACACTGGACGTGTGGTATGAGTCCAAAATAAATGGTCAGTAGCAGAGCCAGCAAAAACCTACGAGCTCAGATAGCCTGCAATAAAGAAAACCTTGGATTTTACCTGCAGTGCTCTGCATTTTTCCAAAGGGAAAAATGAACTTTGGAGTTTAGAGAGCTTGGGAAGAGACACTGGGGTACTGAGCCTTTTTCATTACGTTTGTGAATTGTGATGACTCTTGCATTTTTCATGAATACAGCATCTGTAAGTGGGAGAAAGTGTTTTATCTCCTAACCTGTTATTCTCAAAGCGCAGCAGTTCGGGTTTTATGTGCCAGATGTCTGTGTGTCCTGACTCTTCAGGCGGCTGGGATTAAAGCTTCCCTGTATCAGAGAGGTGTTATAAGGATAACTCCGTTAATGTATGTGGAAATCTGGTACTGCAGCGATAAAGACCCTGTAAATATTTACACAGACAGACGAGCTCATGGAAATTTTACATTATTAACTTAACTTCATTACAAGGAAGTAGTTGAGA